CACACACACACACACACCCGCACACTCCCCTCACTCTTTCAACTCTCCACTGAGATGTCTCAGTCAAATGTGCAAATCCTCATAAAAACAAGTGCACGATGAAACTTTAATGAGCGCGCCCACTTCTGAGGGATCTGAGGGACACAACTTAGGAAATCAGTGTCACATCCCTGCACGACACAGAAACCATAAACTATTTCCAAATGCTTAAAACACGTGTGCCAGTGCGTGTAATGCCTTCTACTGGCGAGGGCAGAGAAAATGAAAAAAGAGAAAGTTTGTAGGCTGCAATGAAATGCAAAACTTAATACAACATTTAAAAGATTGCAAAAAAAATCCCAAATATTTGTATTTTATTTAGAGATAGTTATTGATCATACAAGAGCAACACATCTGATCTAAGTGCACACAGAAGATAAACATCAGCTTTGCTGCTTTGTAAGTGTCGACACAAGTTCTAATGCGCGTCACTTTGCCGATTTCTTATCTGGAGGCTAAGCGTTTTTGGCACATTTTTCTAGCACACAGGTGTGATTCTTCATCCTGACACAACATCGTAAATCAACAGGCACAGGAACTCCTTGGACCCACAGTCACTCGGGTTACAGTCACACACGCCGTGTAAAACACTGATCTGAATTCACCCAACATAACACAGAAGCCACCTTCTCTCTAGCCCGGACCGTCCGGTGTTCTCCTCGGCTCACTGCGCTGACTCTACAGAAGGAAATCATCGGGGGAGTGTAGGAAGGCGGTTTTTTTGCATTTTCCCCCAAGGAAACTCAAGCAGTTACAACCCGGCTCCTGGTTGTCAGCGATCCCCACTGTCTCCTTAACTTCTTCGACATACGGCTTTGGGAACAGAAGAGGGGACAGGGAATCGTGGTCGTGCGTTTCTCTCCGTGAGACCGACGTATTTCCAAACGTCTTGACGCGCGTTTTTCTCAGTGAAGCAACCCGGACAGAGCGACTTTCTGCATAAAAGAGGACTGTTTCACACCTAAAAGTGCCACAAACGGCGATGAGAAGTTTGTGAAAACAGCACTGACCGTGAATCCCACTAGACAGCGTATTGCATTGAAGAGGAGACAGTTCCCCACTTGAGGGCGAAATCAGACTTTTTTGAGGACGCCAAGTTTGAAAAGTGCCAGGAGCCCCGGGGTCTGTCAGACACAACATGCAGCAATGGTAAATATGTTTTTTCTGCTTGTGCTTAATTAAGTTACTCAAAAGAAACACACCAGGAGAGTAAATTGTGGATCTGGCAACTTTTTTTTACAACTTCTGTGCCGGTCTGTCATCTGAGCTTAAAAAGTTAACCAAGTGCTTATAACTAATTAATTTCAGGAACTTGTTTTTGATACATACGACTCATCCGCTGGGTCTGTCTTGCCTATATGGCCCGATTTGAAGAAAAATAAATTCTTCTGCTTATTTTAATGTTTATCTGGCCTTTCTCTTCCCTCGTTTTCTTACAAAAACCTCAGTGTTCACGTTTGTGAGCCTCTTAAGGCCATAAAAACGAGACAAATAATCTGTGACAACCGCAGTAAGTTAACAATATGTTACTTTACTTAATATAAGGTAATAGTTTTGATCACGCCTTTAAAGAGTTACTCAATTCTGTGATCCCCACAGACAAGTTACAAAACTTTTTACGTGAAGAGCAAATCATTCATTCCAGATATAGTGTAAAACCTTTTAGTTGTTTACATAATGTCGCAAGCCACTTTACAATACCTGTAGATTTTGGCCATCATGTTTGCAAACTTATAACACAGGGAATTCTATAATTCACTGCAATTGAGAGCAATGTCTTTAGATAGCAAACGGATAAAAATGTAAGTGTGTTTATACAAATGTCAGCAGACGTCACTTTACAGCTGGCAGGAGCATTTTCAGACCTAGAAAACCTCTGCTGAAAATCTTGCTTCATCTTTTGCAGAATTCCTTTTAGTGTTGGATGCTATATTTCTACAACGTGTTGTTGCTTTTTCCTTCATTCATCTTCTTCAGCTGCTGTTTGTGATGTTCTTTATCAGAATAAGACTTACACAGATGTTTTCCTGTGGGTCAATGCAAACATATCTGCAGATAATTTTAATGGGTTCACAACACAATGATATGAACTGAATTTATTTTAATCTACTAGTGCCTTTTTTTTGTGCAAACTACACTTGCCTTATAAATTCAATCTGTCCCTGTGCTGTGAATCACCTCCAAAAGGAAACTCAAGGAGCTCGTGGCCAACCTGTGACAGGGAAACATAAGCAGAGGAACACAGAGGTATTTCTTTTCAGTGTAAGACATTTCAGTATGGACATATCTCAGTGCTTCAGGAGACAAAGAGAAAGAGGGAAAG